TTTGGCTTTGGTCCACCCTGAGGCCAGCTCAGGGGACAGTGTGGTCCTGGGCTGCCTCCCGGTGTGGAGGGGCTGGGGTCAGGGACCCGAGCCTGGACCCCGTCCTGTTCTCACTCCTCCTTCCCGCACTCAGCCTGTGCAGCTCAGACTTCTGGGCCTATTGAGTCCCCTCGGGCCTGGGGAGCAGGGCAGTGGCTAAGCACACAGTAGGTGTTTAATGAACAACTTGCCCCACTTCGTAAAGAACCAGATTTTGGATGTTGAGGCCCTAAGGCTGGGCCTCCCTGGAGACCAGGTATGGGGTGAAACCAGCCAGGTGCCCTCACCCAGCTGCCTGCTAACAGACCCACAGCAGCGGAATCCCTGGGGCTCAGGCTCTTCCAGATTGTTCTGTCCTGGGGCCCACTCACTGCCCCACCCCCATCACGGATCACAAGGAGCACCCGTGCCCAGGGCCCTGTTGGGGAGGCTTGTCCTGGCCGCCCCGTACCAGTAAATGGGAGGCAGTCAACACCCGAGCCTGCGGGGCTAGGAGTGTCCAGGGCCAGCCGTGAGTAGGAGGGCAGGTCAGTGGGTGTCCTCAGGAAGAGCAGCGTTTCTCAGATGGAACTCTGGACAGGCACCAGGAACCCCTGGTCAAAATGCGGAGTGGGGCCCATGCAAACCTCTGGAATCAGACCCTCTGGGAGGGCCCGGGGATCTACATTTCCACCATGCCCCTTGGTGACCGGCAGCACACATGCTGGGGTCGTGCCCTGCAGGTGCACACAGCTCCTGATGGCTGCTGGAGCTGAGGGAGGTGGGGGGGTGGGGGTGGGTGGGCCGAGCAGTTGCCCCCGGGCTGAGCCAGGCCAGGTGAGGCGGCCACCTGACCCAGGAGAGGAAGGTGTCGAAGAGGATGCCCTTCTGAATGGCCGGGGCAGTAAGGAGACATTCCTTCGGACGCAGTCAGCCCACTTGGGGGAATTTATCGTGAGGAAGGACGAGAGACCCGTAACTAGGCGTGTATAGGGTGCACGTGCACCAGCGCACCGTCAATTCATGGGAGACACTGAAACCAGCCACGGGGCAACAGTCAACAGAGCAGTCGACTTAAATAATTATGATGCAGCCACAGGAAGGAATATTACACTGTCACCTAAAAGCATGTTTCTATGAATTTAGGGCATGGGAAATGCTCACAGCCTAAAGTACCGAAAGAAATATGCAAAATAGAAACTTGCACGAAATGGGAGCCCCAGGTTTGACTCGTGGGACCCTAGGTATGCTTGCAAACAGATCAAGAAGAATTTCGCCAAAATGTTAAAAGTGTTGTTTTTGGATGGTGGGATTCTGCCTGTACCATCCCACTGATCAGAAGATGAACAACGACATTGACCTAGAAGCTTCTAGAAGCTAGCTCTCTTCCGGAAGCCAAGATAGCGCGGTGAACAAAATAGACAAGGATGACGGTAATACTAAAAACCAAAACACTGCTGTTAGTGCATCTGGACTCCTCGATTCCGAGCAAGGGCTCAGTCAAGGTTTTGGAATGAATGAATGAGTGAATGAATAAATGAACGAGGGAGCAAGTGACTGGCAAAGGAGTGCACGAGGTTTCCACGGTGAGTTGTCTGGAAGGACAGGGTTTGGCGAGCTGGTCGTTTCTAGCTCCAAAGTTCATACGGTCACCGAGAGCTAAGGAGTGGGGACCCCGGACTCATTCCCAGCTGGCCAGGCTGGCCTCCCAGTGGGGCTGGCCAGGTGTGTGGCCAGGTGCTCTGGGCACAGACACAAGGGTGTTCTCACCAGGAGGCATTCGCTCAGTTTTGACGTAAAGTCAAGCTGACAGCATTACGCAAGGTCGCAGCCAGGAATGTCCTCCCACTCTTAATCCACACGCTCCCACTGCTCGGATTTGCCCCGTGCACTCGCTCTCCCCCCTCTATCTGTCTGTCCGTCTGTCTCTATGCAATGTTTCCTGAGCTGTTGGAGAGTGAAGGGCAGACAAGAATGCTCTCTGCTGGAAGCGCACACGCAGGACCCAGGTCGGGAAGCTAGAGGTTGATGTGAGGCCGTCCACACTACTTCCTCCCATTTACACACTTAATCGTTTACTTCCTTTTACCAGTGCGAGCTCACTGGCTCCCCCTTTATCCAATGGCTTAAAACCTATTACTACCATTATTTTAATGCTCAGATTGCACACCCCCCCCCCCCCCCCCCCCGTATGGCCAGGGAGCCTGTTTGATGGCCTCTGTGTCCTCTGGACACATCCCAGCCATTCTTGGAGCACTCTTCTTCCTCCTGCGTGTGACTGATTTCCAGGTGCATTTTGCACTTTCCCTGCCAGGGCTCCATCATCTCCAGAGAGTCCCGGTTCCTTCCAGGGAGAACTGGTGTTTGGCAAGCAGGATCTGAGCACCAGGAGTGCTTGGCACTACGGGGGTGTCGCAGCGTCGCTCTCCCTCAGTGGACAGAGCCAGGAAACGAGTGAGCTGTGTGCATAGACACATGTGCAAGGGCCTGTGTCCACAGCCGGCTGCCATGAGATGTAAACGTAGACATACGGACATATGTACTGTGAGGTCATCCCTCCGTGGCTCGCAGGGCACACGTCCACACGCAGGAAGTGGACACCAGAGGGCAACGACTGAGGTGGGGTCAGGGGCCAGCACAGGAGACAGAGCTGGAGGGTGTGGTGGGGACAAGGGGGCCGGACCACCCAGCCTCAGGGCCAGGAGCAGGTAAGGGCTGGAAGGAGAGCCAGGATCTCATTCACGTTTGGTAATGCTGCTTCAGCTGCCTGATGCACAGGCTCGAGGGGCAGGACCGGGAGACAAAGGCCAGCGAGGAGGCACCTACATGCATCCAGGCGGGTGGGAACGGTGGCCCTGCCCAGGGCTGTGGCCATGCGGGCGCTGAGGAGTGGGGTGTATTTCTAAGTCTCCAACGAGGAGGGGACAAGGGAAAGGAGGGAGACATCAAAAGGCTACGGTGGCCCTAGGGAGGAAGCAGGACCTCTGTCTGGGTCCTGCTAAGTTTGAGATGGAATGCTAAGGAGGCAGCTGGACAGGGTGGTCTAAAGGCCCCTGAGCCTCAGTTTCCCCATCTGCCCTCTGATATCCAGGCGTAGCCACCAGGTAGGCATGGGAGGCACTGGCCAGATCACCTGCTTTGGAATAAACACCTTCCCTTCTCTCACTTAGCTTTAATCGGAGCCACCCACCGGCCTGCTCGTGCGGGACCCCCGCGCCCTCCCGGTGCCGTCAGGCAAGCTGTCCGGGCATGGCACCCTCAGGAACCCCACGGTCTTTCTCGCTGAAGGAAGAGAAGGCACAGCGTGGCTACTTATGTCCACATGGACACTTGTTTTTCCAATATTATCTTTGTTTCTGGAAAAAGCTCTCACGGAGATATATGTTTTGTTAGCGGCCATAATGTTCATTTCTGATGAAACTGTTTGTTTTCCTAGTAGATCTTTCCACTTTAGAACCATTTCTCCCAGTTGTTTTGCTAAGAGTAGATGTTTTTGGTGAGGCTATTAAGAAGGTCAACCGTCTTAAGAATATTTTCACCCGTGACTGTGAGGGGGAAAGCTGAGCCTGGCCCAGATGCTTTAGGAGCATTTTGACGGTGTTCTGTTCAAATGGTGCCAGCGTGAGTTTTCCCACTTCCAAGCTGCTCCGGCCCCTGCAGACCCTGAGCACAGCTCTGCGCTGTCCACGACGCACTTCTGGAAGTCAGTCCTGGCCTACAGAGAGGACGGCGGCCCCCTCCTACCACTGTCACGTCACCAAATGCTGCTGCCAAGGTGCGGAAGCTTCCCGCATCGGCATGGGGAGTGCCGTGGTCGCCGGGGGAGAGAGCGCACATGACGGTGGCCACGGTGGTGGAGGGGCTGGTGGTGGCCGCGCGGACAGGGCCCGGTGAGGGTGTCAATAGTGCAAAAGATGGGAGTGGTGGTGCGGGTGGCCTTGAAGGTGGTGGGGAGGGTGCTGGTCATGTCAGGAGGGGCCGATGGAGTGGGTGACAGTGGTGAAGGGGGAGGTGGTGGCCCAGCGGGGGGTGCTGGGGCGGGTCCATGGCAGGACAGGTGGTGGAAGTGGCAGTGGATGGAGTTGAAAGTGGCTGAGGTCGTGGTTGGGGCGGCGGTTGTAGAGGTAACAGTGCATCCGGCCGGCCTAACTCTTTTCTATTCAGGGGACGGCAGGTGCCCAGTGGCCCACCCACAGAGCAATGCGGTGACGAGCCATCACGTTTCATTCCCTCTGTGGCCCACAAATGGCTCCCACACCGGGAGCGCCAGACACAGAACCCTCGCCCTTGCCCCTCGCCCTGAGGACTCCTGCTGTCCTGAGTGCCTGGCCCCAGAGCTCCCTCTGGGAGTCCCGCTGGGGAGGCACTGGCCTGAGTAAGTGGCTCCTGGACTCAGGAGGAAGGGAGAAAGGGAGGGAAAGGCTCGGAGGGGACACTCCGCCCAGCTGCTGCCACACCCAGGGGGGCTTCTGCCCAGAAGCAGGCCCTGCCCTGACTACCTGGCCAGGGGTCCCAGCCTTCTGCCAGCGGGCCTCAGGCGTCAAGGAGGGCGGGGCGGGGTCTAGGTGGCTGCCAGAGGGCACTTGCAGGCCAGGTGCCCCGCTCGGGAGACTGAGGCCCCAGGGAGCACGTGGCTGCCGTCACACTGACGTCTGGGACCAGGACGGGGCCAGGACTCTGCGGGGGGCCAATGGCTGGGCGGACGCGGTGTGCGCACGCTGCCCAAGCCCCGGGGGCGGGTGAGGCCGGGCCCGCGCTCCGCTCGCCCAGGTGGCCGGGCCGCAGCTCGAACCCCACCCCCGCCCGCCTCTCCCGCGGGCCGCTGTCCGGCCTTGGCCGCCGCAGGGAGGAAGCGCTGTCCTCATTCCACCTCTGGCCGCCGCGGTGCCAAGTTGCTGGCGGCGGCGGCGCGAGTCGGGGCGGCGGGCAGCGGCGGGGGCGCAGCGCCCGCCCCGGCGCCCCCGCGGCCCGAGGTTACTCACGTAGAGTCCGGAGTGCTCGGCGCCGAAGAACGGGAAGGGCACGGAGAGCGGCTGCAGCCCCGAGCCGCCGTCGTCCTGCTTGGGGGTGACAGCGTCTCCGCGCTCCGTGCCGAACGGGTAGAAGTCGGCGAGGGCCACCGCGCCGCGCACCCCGCGCACCCCGAGCCCCAGGGCGGCGGCCAGGAGCAGCGCCCAGGCGGCGCCGCGCAGCATCGCCGGGGATCGGCGGGCGGGACGCAGCAGGACACTGCGGGGACCGAGCGGGGGACAGAGAGGGGACACTGCCGGAACCGAGCGGGGACGGAGCGGGGACGCAGTGGAGGCAGAGTGGGGCGCAGTGGGGACAGAGCGGGGGGCGCAGCGGGGACGGAGCGGGACCGAGCCGGACGCAGCGGGGACAGAGCGGGGACCGAGGGGCCTCGCGGTCCGTGTGGGGCCGGAGCCGGCGGGGCCGGGTGCGGTGCGGGAGGCGCGGCGCGCCGTCGGGGAGCTCCCGCGCGCTTGGCCGGGCCGCGCTCGGGTCGCCGCTCGGCGAAGGAAGGCGCCGGGCGGGACCGCGTTCAGGGCCGGCCCCGCCCCAGGGGCCGCGGCTTAAATACCCGGCCGGGCGGTCCCCGGGCCTGGGCGGGGCCTGGGCGGGGCCATGCAAATAAGGTCGCTCTTAAAGCGCCAGGCCCCGCGGGAGGGCGAGGGCGCTCGCTGCGCGCCTGGGGCCGCCCCGCGGCGGCGGGGAGGAGCTCCCTGGCCCAGGCTTTGGCGAGGTGAGCGCTTCGCGGGCGCGCTCCTGCGGCGGGGACCGTCCTCCTCCTCCGTGGGCTCCCAGCTGCCAGACTGGAGCGAGCCCACAGGAGGCGCCTTGCTCAAGGCGCAGTTCTGAGACAGACCCTAAGGCCTGCCTGCCTGAGATGTTGGGCTTGGGTCGCTGCTCTACCGCAGAGTGTCCTCGGTCGGGGCCACCCTGGCTTAGCAGTGCCTTGGATGCCCTTATGGAAGTGGCCAGGGGCCAGCCCCGTGTTGCTCCCCAAGATCTGAGCCTGTGGACACTTGTTGGGGGGGGTGCTCCTGGTCTGATTTTATGTGAGGACCCCTGGCCTGGGGGAATTCAGGGCACTAACCAGGTGTTTGCTTCCTGCACTGACCCATCAGGGAGAAACCCCCGGGAGGTTTTCTGATGGGTTCAGGGCCCTAAGGGAACTTCACAGCAAGAGAGTGTCTAGCAGACTCCAGGGTAAGGAGGGCTCTAAGGGAAGGCTGGTCCTCTTGGGCCGGCGGGGGGGGGGGGGAGGGGGGGGGCAAGCGGACGGATGTTAGTGGGCCTGGAGGACCGCAGTAGGGCCTCCAGAGCCCAAATTCAGATTCCGTATCCCCAGCTGTGGCCATCCCAGCGCTTCTCCCGTCTCTGAGACCACTGACCGCACACCTGGTCCCTCCCCAGGTGCAGGGCCTGACTCCTGGGGTTGAGGCCCTCCCCCACCCCCCTTGCTCTCAGAATCCTGGTGTTAGGGGATGTGTGAGTGCAGGCCCAGCCCGGAGCCCCTGAAGACAGCGGTGTTCCCGTCAGAGATCAGCAGAAACAGCCAGCACGATAGCAGCAGCTGCCACTCAGTTTCTGGGCGCTTTTACGTTGGGCTCCGTGTTTTTTCTGTGTGTCCTAAGACGTCTTCAGTGAACAGGTGTTGCTCTGTGGTCAGCAAGAAATAGTAAATGTGACTTTTAGGAAGTAGTGGAAAGGTCCTCTGAGTGTGACTCTGGGGGCCAAAGGTTTACACAGGTCCCGTTCGGCCAGTACCCTGGTGGCCTCGTCGTTCAAGGAGGCAGCCCCTGTGGGGCACTGGCCCGAGAGAGGTTCCCCTTCAACTTCTCTCTGGTTCCCCTGTGCTCAACTGCGAGAAGGCCAGCCCTGGGGCCGGGCTTCTGCCTCAGAGAACCCTGGACGGCAGGACAACCGTGTGGTTCCAGGGAAGGACGAGAAAGGTCAAGGCCTCCCGTCTCTAGGAAAGGTCAGAGAGGACATCGAATTACGGGGCTGTGCTGGGAACAGAATCTTCACGGTGTTGTCAGCAGGAACCTGGGGAGGAGGGGCACGTCCCCACTTGCTCCCCCTCCACTTACACATGCACATCCCCACTCACACACACACACTCCCATTTCCACGTGCATGCTCACACATGGAGACAACACTCACGCTTCCACACCCACACTCAGTCACATGTGCTCCCACATACAACACTGCACACATTCCTATGTGCCCCTCTTCACTGCTGACCTTCTGCCCCAAGGGATCCTAGTAAAGGCCCATGTCTGGGCTACGTTATTGGTCCACCTGGGGGCTTATAGGGAGTAGGGCTGCCCCAGAGAAGGGCTGTTTCTCTAGACATGGTGGGAGTGGTTGGCCTAGACAGGGGGTCCCAACCAGGGCACTCAACTGAATCCCCTGGGTGGATTTGTGAGGTGCTCAGGCCCGGGCCCCACCCTGGACGGCAGGTGCTTGTGGGTCTAGGCTGGAGCCAGCCACAGGCCGACTCTTCGGTCACGGCCCCAGTGAGGCCATGCTTACCTGGGGCCCAGGCCTTGCTGCCTATTTGCAGCCTGGTCTGGGAGACTGGGGGTTAACATGAGGCCCCACCACTGCTGGGCATTACATTTCAAACACACACACACACACACACACACACACACACACACACACCTCCACAGGCAGCAAAAAAGAGGAAAAAAGTGTGTTTTTTTTTTTCAGGTGCTAAAAATATTATCAGGAAATACTTTTCAGCAATGTGCCGTTTTAGGTTCCCCTCTGGACTCAAGGGCGCCTTTGTCTCTGCCACAGAAAGTCCACATTTATCAACACCAAAATCGTTTTATCAAGCAAGCTCATGTTCTGCGGCCAGGAAACCTGAGCCTCCCCAACAGGCCTGTGACATTTTAGTTTAGGGCCTGAGTATGTGTGCAATTTAGATGGGGGAGCCCTGGAGCCGACCTCGGGACACCCCAGGACTTGGGGCTCTGTTGGGGCAAGGTGGTGCGTCCTTCCCCACAGCGCACCTGGCCTGGTGGGCTGGTCCCTACAGGGCTGGGTGGGGCTCCCTGAGCAGGGCTCCGGCCGGGGCCCTAGAGGGCCCGGCTGGCTGTGCCTCCCACCGCTTTCTCTCCAGAGGCAGCAAGCTGGGCACAGATCTCCCCAGAGCAGCTAGAAGCCCCTGCCCCAGGTAACCCTCACCTGCCCCAGGAGCAAGGCCAGGAAGTTACAGGGCCCGAGGCTCAGGCTGGGTTGCGCCCTTGCGGAAGCCCACCCTACCTGGTTGTTTCACTGTGAGGCTGGACGGGGTCTTGTCACAGGTGGGAACGCCTGGTTCAGGATGAGTGGAAGGGACAGTCCTTGGGTCCTGGGCCCACCCGGCCGGGCCCCCCCCCCCCCCCCCCGCCGTGTGCAGCAAGGGGGCACAGCCTCCAGGGAGCCCCCCCACACCTGGACCCCTGACAGGTGTCCTGCTATCTATGGGAGAGAAATGATCAGAATAGGGTTCAACGTTTACTTCCTGGGAAGTTCACTGCTGCTTTCTTCTTTGAAAAAACTAGAGAGGAATTAGAAACCTTTCGAGCTGGAGAATCTGCAGGGAGAGGCCAAAGATGGTTACGGGTGAGCTCAGGTTGGGCCTCTCTCCGTGGTTTGGGTGAGGAAAGACGCCTTCTGCCGTCCACGGGCAGCCTG